ATATTAATAAATAACATAATATATATTGTATTATAAAGTTTTTTAGAAGTATCTCAAAAAAAAAAAGTTTTAAATAATTTAATCTGAAGATTAATGAAACCATTCTTATAATAGTAATCAATATATATTATTTGTCACTTCTTTTAAATTGCTAATATCTTGATGGTACAATATTACATCGTTGAAACAACATAAATATAAAAGAAATATCTACCAGTGTGTTTACCGTCTATAAGTAAAACTTATTTCAGTTAAACAGTCACTCATAAAAATACGATTTGAGTATTTTTAACATAGGGATTTTTCCGAATTTGTGTATAATATTTTTTAAATGTTTATTCTCTAAGTTACCTATTATTAAAATGAATAAAATGTATTTTGATTGACATAATTTACCAGCAATATTTGAAATATTCACATTTCTCAAGACTATTAGTACATGATTGAAATTTTACATATAGAATTGTTTCATTTTATAAATATGGTTCTTGGTGAAAACAGTTTTCTCTATAACGGTTTATTGCGGAAGAATTTAAAATGAATGTTACAAAAAAAAAAAAAAAAACCCAGCACAGTGAGGTGGCGGCACAGTGGGGTCGTGGCATAGATGATATCTGACAGTGATTAAAATCACTATCATAAAAAACGCTTCGATGCAAATCTGTAGATAGTGTTTAATTAAAAAAAAAATTGTTAAAATAGCATATTTTTGAATATGGTAGCCATTTTCGCATAGAAGATAGGTCGTCGGGACAAATTTTTTTTTTCATTTTATAGTACATAAAATAAGCTTTAATTTGATATATGTTTAAAGGGACGCAGTATTTCCGGAACATTTTCAAAAATAAAGTTGAAAAAGATCTATGTTTTTTACAATATTTCAAGTTTAAAACGCCCCCTATATAAGGGGAAATTGTCCAATTTTAATAAAAAGTATGTCAAATGAAATATGTACTTATAATGTATTTATAAAAAAAAATTTGTGCTGATATATACATTTTTCAAAAAGTTAAAGCATTTTTAAGTTGAAAATTTAAAATCGAAAATCGTAAATTTTAACACAAAAATAGTGTTTTTTTAACTACATCAGCCGTTTAAACGTAGAAGAAAAAGTGTCGGGACAAATTTTTTTTTTTCATTTTATATTACATAAAATAAGGTTTAATTTGATATATGTTTAAAGGACGCAGTATTTCCGGAACATTTTCAAAAATTAAGTTGAAAAAGTTAATTTTTGTAAAAAAGTTGCTATTTTAAATCCCCCCTGTGAGCAGAATAAGTGTTAGATTTTCAAAAAAAAATGATATCAAATGAAAGAAAATTACCTAAGGTTTCAATATAAAGAAATATTATTTTGATTAGTTAATATTTGAAAAAGTTATGGCAGTTTTAAGTACAAAAAACATCGTTATAAAAGGTGATTTTTATCGCAAATATTACATTTTTTTTATAATTTCGACAGCCATTTGCACATAGAAGATAAGGTGTCGGGGCAAATTTTTTTTTTTCATTTTATAGTACATAAAATAAGCTTTAATTTGATATATGTTTAAAGGGACGCAGTATTTCCGGAACATTTTCAAAAATTAAGTTGAAAAAGATCTATGTTTTTTACAATATTTCAAGTTTAANAAAAAGATCTATGTTTTTTACAATATTTTAAGTTTTGAACGCCCCCTATATAAGGGGAAATTGTCCAATTTTAATAAAAAGTATGTCAAATGAAATATGTACTTATAATGTATTTATAAAAAAAAATTTGTGCTGATATATACATTTTTCAAAAAGTTAAAGCATTTTTAAGTTGAAAATTTAAAATCGAAAATCGTAAATTTTAACACAAAAATAGTGTTTTTTTAACTACATCAGCCGTTTAAACGTAGAAGAAAAAGTGTCGGGACAAATTTTTTTTTTTCATTTTATAGTACATAAAATAAGCTTTAATTTGATATATGTTTAAAGGACGCAGTATTTCCGGAACATTTTCAAAAATTAAGTTGAAAAAGTTAATTTTTGTAAAAAAGTTGCTATTTTAAATCTCCCCCAATGAGCAGGTTAAGTGATAGATTTTCAAAAAAATGATATCAAGTGAAAGGTAAATATCTAAGGTTTTAGTATAAAAAAAAAGTATGTAGATTTGTTGATTTTTCAAAAAGTTATGGAAGTTTTAAGAAAAAAAAGTGAAAAAATTTTGAAAATTAGTGATTTTTAAATTTGTAATTTTTTTGGATATTTCCCCCATTTACGGGGAACGAGGGAATTTTTTTCAATTTTTAAGGGTAATGTCTTCAACTAGATACGGTTTGTGATCTTTTGACGTATTTTTGAAAGAAATCGGTCCAGTGAGAGCTGAGAAAAAGTGGCAACAGCAAAAAAAAAAATAAACACATCATAGTAAAATTAATACCTTCTCCGCTTCGCATCGAAGCTAAAAAATTTAATTAATTATGTTATAGTTATTTTTTTGGCTTGTAAATTACAGTGATATTATTAAAAATTAAAATAAACTATTTGAATAGTGTTATAATTGTGTAATTTTTATGTAGTAACTACAGATATCACAAAAATTATCTTTTTTAAAACCCACTCAATTTAATTTATGTTTTTGATTTAATATTACTAACATATTTTTAATAACATGTTTAACCATATAACTAATTAAAATCGTAATTAATTACAAAGAACTTATTATTAGAGAGGTAATAGAAATGTTTAAAAATAAAAACAATTTAATTAATTGGGATCTTGGTCCATTTTAAAATTCATTATTAAACTTGTGAAACCGGCAAAATGTGATAATATTACTTAGTGATGACGTCACTAGGGGTATATAAGGGAGTTTTTTCTAGTCTAGGTATCAATATGTGTTAAGCGTTAATAATGGTAATATTGTTTCAGAAATACGTTTCCACGATTTTTCAGTAATATTTTGTGGCTTTTGAGTTTAATATTTTCTAGTTTTTTAAATTAATAATATTTTTAATATAGTTTTAATTTAATTTATTTTTATTAATTGAGGTTTTATAAAATAGTGTTTTAATTGTGCATTAATTGTAACGACGGTTTTAAACAGACATTACAAAAATTATTTAATTTTAAACTATTCAATTTTATTCCTTTGTTTAATTTATTAAACATATTTTTATTTGTTGAAATTTTAAATAATCCTTCGTAAATTTAATTATTAGTTTGATAATTAAAAAATGCATTTTAAAAACATTTTTTTTTTTTATATTTTAAAATTTTATGTAAAGTACTTAAAGTTTTGTTTTATTATTTGTATACTGTTTAATATTAAATTATTTTAAACATTGTGGACTTCAAAAGTGTTTGACATTTTTAAACTTTTTTTTAAATTTTACGAGTACAATATTCTCATATGTACGTTTCGTATGTAACAGTATGTGTGACATTTTTCTTTTAGTGGAAAATCTTGTTTAAATTATAATTTTTATTTCATTACTTTTAAATAAAATATTATAAGTAATCTATTCAGTTTAATTTAATCTAGATATTATTTAAGAAAACAATTGTTACAGTAATTATTCCACCACCGCCGCCTTTTTCATTCATACCACGGCCTCCGCCAATGCCTCCTTCATTAAATTTTATGCATAAAGGGGGTGGTGATTATCTAAGATTACAAAAATGGGCTGAGATCATAAGCAAAAAATTTTAAAGGTAAATGGTTTTATCTACTAATTAATTATTGAGTACTCTAAATAAATCATTGCTTAATCCAATACAAAGCATCAGTTTTTAAAATACACTCTTAGTCTTAGTTTTCATACATTAAGAGGGTTTATAAATAAAATACATTATCTGATTAGTAACCAAGTTTGAAGAAATAATCCTGTTAATCTCAATGATTTCCTAATATAAATTGAATCACATTTCTCAATAAATTAGCTAATTTTTTTATTTCATGTAGTCAGGAAATATGCAGAATGAAAATTTAATAAAATAATTAAAAAACGGTGTAGTATTAAAAAAAGTATTTATTTTCATAAATATTTATTTACTCTATAAATTTCTTATTTTATGTTTTTTTATTTGGAGGTTAAACGTTTAGAAATAACAAAGCCTCCAGTGGATGGCAATGAGTTTGCCAAGGTATTTTCTTTAAGACGGATTAAGGATATTGGCCAGTTATAATTAATCCCTCACTTTGTGCAAAGAACTTCACAGAAACAGATCGGGCCAAGGATTCTAGACAAAGGAGGTCCGGTCCCTGTTTCTTGTGTATTATAACAATTAGCCATAGTTATATTTTTAGATGTTTTAGAATTTAAAATACACATAATTAAAAAATAACAATTGTAATTATAATTTACTTGAGTAATTTCTATATGTATAATTTAAGCTTGCTGTCATATTTATAAAATATTACTAAGTTTAAATATAAGCCAATAGTTCAGTTATTTTCATGTGTGAATAATTTGTGTAGAATATGGATATAATAATAATACAACTCCTATGTAATGTTTTTTTTTTTTGGAATTTTATGAGATTCAAAAAAACGTCTTTAAAAATTACTAAATGAACAACGTCCGGTGATATTCACGCGGGTTCGTTTACGTTTGTTGTTTTATTTAAGTCAGGCTATATTGAGAAAAAGGAATAAGGTGAGTGGACTGTATGAATGAATGTAGAATGAATTTTACAATATATAATTATAACAATTAAATGTATTATACATCAATGTGGATAGGAGTGACACTCAATACTAATGCCACAATGGCGCTGATATAAACAAATAATAAATTATAAATGTGAGTAAGTCTCAAAAAGAAGATGAACAAGGATTATACATATCGGCTATACAGGGTGTTCAGTAAGTCAGGAAACGGGTTTCTATTGTTCTCATTGTTACAAACAATGAGAACAATAGAAACCCGTTTCCTGACTTACTGAACACCCTGTATACTTACAACAAAACGAATACAAAACTACTGGCTCGCATACGTCATAGAGTTTATAGCTAAATATATGGCGGCGACAATGTAGACATAGAGAGAAAATCGACAACAACTCGGTGTAGACAATGATGACATAAATAATCAAAACACCATTTCTGGACAGCACACTCGCCTATGTATATTCAACTATTACAAAAGATTAAGTTTGCTGAATTATGAATTACGCTCAACAAAAATAAAAAATCTTCTTAAAAAACAACTATAAAGGTATAAATATATTATAATTATTTGAGAGCGTCACGCTAGTTAAAAATTACTAATATTAGTATTAGACTATTCGAGTGCTTTTTTATTGATCTTAATTATCAATCTCATTAATTTATTAATTTTCTATTGCAAGGTTAAACAACTAATTAATTACGCTTAGGTATGTTTTATTTGATCTTATAAACTATTGCTTTTAAATAAATTTCTATTTCAGATCAAATAAAATATATATTTTTTCATTAAAACAATTGTAAGAAATTGGAAAAAATGATCATTTAGCCTTAATTTTTAAAAATTCAATTTTTATTCTTGATATTTGTTCTAGTATTGAATTTATATTTCAATTAAAATAAATAACTTCACTTATATGTTGCCAATTTCTTAGTATAAAATATTAAGCTTCAATTGTTATTGATGGTTATAATCATAGACGAGTCAAGTCATTTTTTACACTAGTAATTAAAAGACACATGTAAAAACGCATCTGACAATCTCACATATCTCTCAAAAAATATTTTTGTCTATATTTACATTTTTTTTAAAGGATCATAAACCAGCGTTTTAACTTAAATAATTTGTTTATATCATAACAATTTTTTTTTTTAGGCTATAATAAAAATGATAAACTTTATAAAGTTTTACAAAGATTATTCATGTGAACACCAAGAGACAAAAACCTTTAAGGAATTTAAAGAAAAGGCGAGTGACCGGTTAGAATGGTGCATTGAAGTTGTAAACCAACCTTTGGGGTGATAAAAAAAAAACCCAGCACAGTGGGGACGTGGTATAGTTGGGTCCAAAATAGATGATATCTGACAGTGATTAAAATCACTATCATAAAAAACGCTTCGATGTAAATTTGTAGATAGTCTTTAATTTTAAGAAATTACTTTTATTATTTAATTTTTCGTGCTCATTTCAAATAATCAATTATATGTTTTGCATCACCAATAATTTTTGATATTATTACTAATTGGTAAAAAACTACAGGATATAACTATAAGAAAAATAGTTCTGAATATTTCAATTGTATCATCTATTTAAACATCATGAGTTACATAGAAATTATTAACATTTGTTTTGAAATTATTTATTACCATAAAAAAATAATTAAAAACACAAAAATTGTTATTAAATTATTACAGTTTTTGATTTTTAATATTTTAAAAATAATCAGTGCAAAATATCACTTTTAATCTGTTTTTTTCGGTATTTTAATGTTGATTTTTTGAAAGTTTATAATAAAAAAAAGTGAAATTTGTTACCTTAACTTCAAGTTTAACATTTACATTATTAGATAGAAAACTTTATGTGAATAAAAAAATAGTATTGTTAAGATTAATATGTAGTCAGGAAATTGTAAAATTTGTTATCGAGCACTAATTTTTTTAGATGGATCGTTTTATAATATACTGAGTCAGTATTATATTTATTAGTCAGTATTACTGACTAATTAGATATGTAGGTTGTCTTTTAAAATATAAAGTTAACATTTCTATAAAACATAAGGCATAAATATATTAATTATTTTATAACAGATAAATGATTAAATATATGAAATCAAAAAAAAAAAATACTTAATATAATTTTTTTAACATAATTATTATTAAAAAAACGGTAGCACAGTGGGGTTGCGGCATAGTGGAGACATTGCATAGTTGGGTCCAGATAGATTTAATCTGACAGTGATTAAAATCACTATCATAAGAAACGCTTCGATGCAAATCTGTAGATAGTGTTTAATTTTAAAAAATTGATGGATAATTGCAAAATTAACATCAACTTCTATTAAAATAAAATACAAAACCCATAATTTGAATACAAAAATAGCATATTTTTGAATACGGCAGCCATTTGCGTATAAAAGATAGGTCGTCGGGACAAATTTTTTTTTTTCATTTTGTAGTACATAAAATAAGCTTTAATTTTATATATGTTTGAAGGACGCAGTATTTCCGGAACATTTTCAAAAATTAAGTTGAAAAAGTT